AAATCTACCTGGCACGTGTTTGAAAGACAAATTCCCCCTAAACCTGATAAGTGGTTGTGCCACTGTTGGTAGCAAGAACTGCAATCAAACTATCTGCTTTAGGACCTGGATGACCTGCTGTAATTAACCATAAATTCTGCTCTCTACCAGAAGATCCTGAAGGAGAATTTCTGGTCATCATTTCATGGACTGAAGCTCAATCAAACTTGGGTTACGCAGCACGGTAATGATTTGAAACACATCAGCAGGTCCACCTCTGAATGGCTCAAAAAAACAACCCCCTACCCCACCCCCGAAAAACAAACAAAGTGAATGTTTGGGAGAAGCCAAGTGAAAGTATGAAGTTAGATTGAGATACTTTGCCATGACCTTAAGTGTTTTCAACTCTTCTTCTGCAAAGAAGAGTGGGCAAAAATCATTGCAAATTATCACAAACACTTGATTGCAGCTCTTGTTGCCAAGAGTGGCACAACCCCTTATTAGGTTTAGGGGTCAGTTACTCTTTCCCACAGGATCAGGTAGATTTGGATTGCTTTTGTTCCCTTAATAAATTTAATTGTTATTTAAAAACTGCATTTTGTATTCATTCTGACTCTTTGTATGACATTAAGATTCGTTTGATGATCTGAAACATGTAAGTGTGACAAATGTGCAAGAACATAAGAAATCAAATAATTTTCACATGATAGAGATAGGGTGATGGTGGTGCGCTGGCAGTGGATTTTCACCTGGGAAAACAGGGTTCCAACCTTACACAAAGCCAAACGTATATGCCTGTGGTTCACTGGCCCAAAGTCTTTCTCCAAGCAGGGCTTTCCAGTCAGGGGCCATCTTGAAATGGATTTTTCGTTTTTCCTTTTCTAAATGTTATGTCTATTAAAATTGTAAACTGTAACCATAGTTTAATGCCATCATTGATAGCTCTGGCTTCATGTCAGCCTACCAGGTGGGCATCATATCAGGAAACCACATCCGCCCGAGGTGCTTCGACACCTCACTGTGGATCTGCTCTATGTTATAGCTGCTGTCTGGGATCAGCACCTCCTCCATGATTGACAGCTGTGTCAGCCTGCCCCCGCACATCTTCACAAACTCCACAAAGCCACTGCAGGTCACCTCACACTCGCCTAGCCCGATCGCTGTCAAGCTCTTGCAGCGCTCCCCGATGCGGATTAGCTCCTCATCCAGGGGCTCAATGCCATTGGCGCACACAACCAGCTCCACCAGCCGAGGGCAGTTCAGTCCAATGCGGCCTAGCATCATTTTACTAACAGCTCGGCCAAAGTACAGGTGGGTGACGGGGGTCTCCTCGCAGAAAAAGGGCTCAAACTCCTCCTCATACAAGTAGAAATACATGACTATGTTGACCTTCGGCGAGTGGCGGATCAAAGCCTCCCAGCTGCTCCTCTTGATGGTGTGAAAATGTGTTTGGCCGGGGTTTTCACTCACCACGTCAATGCGCAGGTGTTCCAAGTGAACGTGTTTTTCAGAAGACAGGGCAAGAAGAAGCTCATCACTTAAGAGATGGTAGTTCAACGCCAGCTCCCTGAGGCCATGACACTGGTCTGCCACACACAAGATACCTTATGAAAAAGAGAGAAGAGTGTCTTAATGTTTTAGAGCCTTTGAGAATGTATATACCTTTTAAATATGAGTATGTTAGCTGAGGCACGGTTGTACCCTTAATCACAGACTGTATACTAAAAGGTGTTCATAGCTTCTGGGTATTAAAGGTTTGTCCTTAAAGCTGCATTCTTTCTTGGGCAGCAGGGGTCAACTGTAAAGAAATCTATAAGAAGATAACGTTACTTCTCACTTGCTTTATGGCCACAATAAACACTTTCCTGATGATTTTATGGTGGTACGGTACGATTTCACGGTGGGGCCACCTTGTGACTGTCAGGTTACTACCCAACTGGCCTATAGTGTGCTTGGGTTTAGGGTCAGCTCAACTCCCCTGTCATATAGTTTAAAGGCTTCATAATGGGAGTCCATAAGCTGACAGGTGACATCATGTTGCTTATGTTCACCTTCATAAACAGTCTGTGAATTTAATTTTCTTTTTGGCAATCAGTTCCATGCTGAAGTACCTCAGTTCCAAGAAAAGCAAAATTGAGCAACTTGCTGATGAGTATTCACAGTGCCCACTTTGAAGCTAAAATACTGTAGGTGTACTAACCAGCTGGGGAGACATGAGGACAGCTGCTCATCTTCAGCAACTTAAGGGTGTCACTGTTGTTGGCAACCAGCACCTTCAGGGACGGATCATCCACTGGGGTGTCATCGATCCTGATGGAGGATAATGACTTGGAGTTTACGAACACCACCGTCAGGGCAGACACAAAATGGGCCTGAGGAGATACCAACGATGTTCATCAAACCAGGATTCATTATCTGTTATTGCTGATGTAGAAAACTGTGCAAATCTTTTTACAGGAAGTGCAAAAAATAATAATGCACCAGGGGAAGAGGTGAATACAATCTTCATGATGACTTGAAATACCAGCATATATTACGTGTGTTTAAAAAAAAATCAAATATAAACAGGCCATTTCTTACTTGAGATACATCCATGAAGCTGGGCCGTGCTGTAGAAATCAGCCCCAGGGTCTTGATGGTGCAGTTCACTAGCTGAGAGAGAATGTCACAAGCTGCCTCTGCAGATTCGGTGCAGCTGTCCACCTGATTTACCAGCAGTGATTCAACATTTTGGAGAGGAGGAAAGAGACATTAAAATAATTGATGAAAGACTGAGGTGTAAGAATCACTTGAGATAATTAAGCACGTCGATGCCAAGACTGCTGACATGTGATGCTCAATTCTGCAGCAGTTCAGATTAAGGAGGGCAGGTATTGTTTATAAGACAGTGTGTTGTGAAAATGGAAGAAGAGAAAGAGGCCACAGCAGGTGAAACAGGTGAGAGGAAATGAGAGACGGCAGGGGAGGCTCTTACTTTGAAGCTAACATACTGCAGGTGTTGGGCATGCTTCTTGATGATCTGCTGAATGAGGTCAGGGTGAGTGGAGCGTAAGTAGGACGTGGCTGGCTGATTGAGCTCAAACTCAAACTTCCTCCACAGGTCAGGGGTGTGAAAGACGTCATTCCAGCACCGGCACACGGATGATGCCCTGGCCCGGTCGACCAGGGACAGATGCTGGAAGATCTGCAGGACGACGTGATGGGGCAGGTTTCCCCAGTCTTGTGCTGGAGTCATCCACTTCGGTCTCTTAGCCCGCTCTCCGAGGGAGGGGAAAATCTGGCACTGTGATTTCAGACCTCGCTTCATTCTGAAGCAAATCAGCCCACTGTGGTGTCATAAAATCAAAGGTGTGTTTAAAAGGGCAGTGCAGGGTTAAGATTTTACTGTGCTGGGATTACACAAGCCATGAATTGCAGTACAGTGTGAACTCAGTTTATGCTGGTAGCACTGAACAGGTTTTGTGTTTAGGGACAAACATCTCCAATTCTATAATTATCTGCTTTAACACTATTTACCCACTTAATTATAGCTTCCTGAAATGCTTCATTAATTATTTTCTTTTATAATTGTATGTTTTTAAAGCCCTGATATAATAAAGAAGCTGCGTTTGGCTGCTCCATTATTCACAGGGAGTCACCACATTTTTACACGTGATTGTCTTTCTGTCAAAGCCCCAATTTGAGTGTTTTTCTAGTCTCAGGTTTCTTTCAGAGTTCAGGGTTCTTGTGCTTGCTGGGCAAATGTGTAACTATGGAGCTACCAACGTGCTGATAAATCAGAGAGTTTTAAATGTGTCTGGATCCAATGAGAATTTTCTCTTTTTTTTCACACAATCAGTATTTGCAAATGACATTTTTTCTGTTTAGTATAATTTAAAAAAAGAACAAAGAACTTTATATTTATCCACTAAAAGCACAGAGTTCTCTAACATATAACTCTCTATGTCATCTGCGTTACATGACAGCCAAACTCAAACAAATAAATGCTGTCAGAACTAGATTTATGAAGTACCAACTATGTCAAAGGACATATGAGCACTGTATAACACAAATATAAGGTACGTAATATATATATAGCACTTGATATTAAAACGGAACTCTTTGTCCTTTATCTTACCACCACCACACTTGAAGAAACAATCTTAGACACTATAAGCACCGACATAATTTAATGCAACAGCGACCAGTCTAAAAACTAAAAGTGTCTAAAAACTAACCCTACAGAGATGCACTGTAAAAATCTGTCTGTGAGCTGATGTTGTTTTTATTCAAGAGTCAATACTGGCTCCAGAATATGTACGAAGGTCTTTTAAATAAAGTATCAGCTAATGGTGTTCGCGTTTCACTAACTATGAAATATACTAATCTGTTTTAAAACCATTTATAGTATTGTCCCTCTGTTATTACCACTACTATTGCTTTCCTTGCATTGTATTGTGTTGCTGTTGTTGTTACCGTCGTTGCATATTATTGCATGTTGCACATGCTTAAAAAAATCTGAACAGAAACTTTAAAATGCATAAATGCAGGTGTCCTATGAGCATTTATGAGTCTGCAGCAAAGCTGACCGAATCGTAACACAGCCCTTCTCCTCCAGCCTCCTCCAATTCCGCAATCGATCTTTTACTCACAGTCCAAAATATCAATAAAGCTCAGAGTTACTTACCCGAACGGCTTAAAAACGACGCCTTCCGCAGGGTTTCGTGCTCTGCCAGCTGAGATGACAGCGTCCACTTGGAGCCATGGCTGGAGATGACTGCAGAAATGCTGGCTGCTGTTGATATAGGACAGCAGGAGCAGCTCCCATAATAAGCTCTCTTCACTTTAGCGACAGCTTGACGGGCGCTGCCGAGCAGCCGGTACACGTGAGCTGAGGAAAACATGGATCTACATCTCCCACCACCATCTTGCGCGCAGAAAAACAGATTAACAGTTCTGCGTGAGCAGAGGACATATATTTTCACATTTCAGGAAGTCGGAAAGGACTGTTTATACTAATTCTAATTTATGTGGTCACTCAATGAGTGTTGTTGTCCTCATGAGCAGAGGGCACAAGATAGTGTGTGCACGCTTGCACACAGAAACTAGGTCAGTGTGTCAAAGTGTGCGTGCGTGCGTGTGTTTGTTTGTGTGACGGAGAGAGTGATCTTGTGGACATGCTCATTAAAACCCCACACAGGAACACACTTTATAAACCCTTGATTATCGAACCTGTGCCGATTAAAGCAGTTTATTAACCGCGGCCGTCAGCGGTGACGACAGGTGGTTTCTTAGTGTTATGAATCTTGCTGCTTCACAAACTGGCACATCTAAAGCAGATGGCAAAACAACTATACCTGATAAAAACGTTTACATTTATCTAAACTCATTAAAAAAATAGCAATCACGTGTGGGTTTACAAACTCAAGGTGAAAAACATCAAACAAACCGGATGTTTACATCTGGATACTGTCATGCCTATGGTGTCAGTCTGCTCTTAAAAATACTGGCATGGTTTTGTTGTTATTTTAACCTGTTAATCCTAATCAAGTTGTAAATCACAGTTTGTTCCTCCGACTTTGGCTGCTATTTCTCAGTACCTTACAGAACTTTGGGCTTTTGGCAACCCCAGTGTTTTAGGCCTATTGCATGTCTGGATACTGAGTTTGCAGAGTGGAATAGCAAGAGAGGGAGCAGCAGACAAGAAGAGATGGTCATGTTTATCACTCTGGGGACTACACTGTGCAGGGCATTTCCAAAATTATTTTGAAATGGAAAGGCACAAGAACAATTTGTAGAAAACTGACATAGAAAACCTTGGGCACAGACTCTTGTGCAGCCTGGGGTCTTAACTAAGAGAGGTTTATTTACAAAGAATCTTTCGCAGTCAGTGTCACAAAGTGCCTGATGTCAAAAGTCCAATCTTTTGACGAGAAATTATTAGTGAGTGAGAAAAACATTTGTCTGCAAGAATAAATTTAAACAAGTCTTATGCAGACACACACACCACCTGATGTAATGTGTTTAATAAGACTGTGCGATCCACATTATCAAACTTAGATCATAGAAAACAAGAACAATCTGAAGCGGATTGATTATGTGAAAGATGGTGCTGCACAGGAGTTTACATTTGTCATTCTTCTATATTTCAAATCATCAAAAACAGATTTTAAAAAGATAACACGAGTAAATACAAACTGCAATTTTTTAAATGATGATTTCATTTATTAAGAGAAAAACAACCATCCAAATCTACCCGTCCCCCGTAAATAAGTAATTACCCCTAAAATCTAAAACAGTCTTCTACCACATTTGGCAGCAAGAACTGTAATCAAATATTTGCAATAACTGGCAATTATTCTTTCAAATTTTGTCCCACTCTTTTTTGCAGAATTGTGATAATTTAGACATACTGGAGGGTTTACATTCAACAGAATGGTCTGTTTAAGGTCATACCAAAGCATCTGAGTCTGATTTATTTCCAGACATTGACTAGGCCACTTCAAAACTTTCATTTTATTTCTCTAGCCATTCAGAGTGTGTTGTTGTCCAGTTAGTAAAGCAGCAAAGCAACCAGCAGACTATCACACTGCCACCACTATGTTTTAATGTTGATATGATCTTTTTAAAAAAAAAAAAAAAAATAATAATAATAAAAATACTGTGTTAGTGACATGCTTTTGATTAGTTTTATACCAGATATGACTGGACACAAACTTTTCCAGAAGTTCAACTTTTTGCCACAGAATGTTTTCCCAAAAGTCTCGGGGATCATTTAGATGTCAGTTATTTTGTTTTTCAGCAGTTTCTTTAGATTGTTGCACAATGTGTTGCTTTTTCTGTTATCCTCCTTCACTCTGTCACACAGGTTCTATTTAATTGTTCATTGATTCAACAAGTCTGGCAGTAATTAGGGAAAAGACAAGATCTGCAGCTTTTCATTTAGGTCTGAAAAACTGAACACAACACTGACAATTAAACGTTGACACTGAAATTGCCCAAACTGACAAAGACTAACAGTAAAGTCTTATGGTTTTATGGTTGCAAGGCTTTATGTCACTGATGTTTTATTTATTTATTTGTTTGTTTTGTAAGCCATAATTCAGCAAGTTTGTAACTCACAAAGTTTCAACTAAATAGCTTAAGATTTCAACTTATTCACAAGTCAGAGTGAGTAACTCGACATTTTGAAAAACCTAACCTGAAGTTTTGGGATAAAAACCCAAAAAGACATAACAATTTGACATTTTGACTCAGTGCTGCCTGAATATTATTTTATTGTTTACTTTATTTACTTATTTTTTCAGTGAAGGAAACAAGGTTCCATAGTTTAAGTCTTAATTTTTTACATTCAGTCTCGTGTTTATTTTTGTTGCCTATAACAACCTTAATATCTGTAGGTAGATGAGAAGCAAAATGCAACCTAGAAAAAGCATGAATACATCTTAAAATGTATTATTATTATTATTATTATTATTATTATTATTATTATTATTATTATTTCGACTGCAGTAAAAAAAAATGGGATAAATAATATGGGACAAATAAATTCTCTTCTGTTATTGCTCTTTATTTATACCCTGAGTTTCGTCTTTAAGGCTCGTAAACTAAACTGTCGACTGATAATTCGAGTCCACGAAAGCGAACCCGTTAACTTACTAGTAACTTCTTTGCATGACATCTAATCTAACAACACCTAACCGCGATTTATATAAAAGATGGTTACTTTTAGAGAACGCCACAGCCTTGTAGGCAAAGTACAGGGAAAAACTACACCCTTTTACGTTGCCGTAACTCTCCTAGCTCCGCCTCTATCCCTGGACAAACAGGAATGCAGCCGCTCGTCACGTCAGCATGAGGAGACGCAACAAAATCAGCTACACATAGCAGAGTTCTGTGATAACAGAGGAAGAAAACTCTCAATCCAGCACTGTCAATTATTTCTAGCAGTCCTCACGATGCAGCGACGTATCCGCTTTGTTGACTGTAACGTAGGATGAAGAGTAGATACCAGCTAGTTAGCTTGCTCTGACAGTCGGAGTACTAGCCTGTGGCTAACAGTTTGCTTCACGCTGTGAACTGAGACGGTAAGTTTTTTCTCAGATATTTCTGTGGTGTCACGTTGGCCGCATTGCAACTAGTAAGAGACGGAAGTGCTTCCTATATAACCCTAAAAAGACATTAGGTAATATTTTTGGTACTTTTAGCTCCGTGGAGGTGATACTTTCTGTTACAAATACTGCTCACAAAAGGGATCAGTAGCTTTTTCGTACGGCTGACAAAGTCACCAAACTAGCTTTACAAATACTTTACGTTCCATTGTAGTCGATGCGTTTTTTTATATAACTGACCTTTTTCTAAAAAGTATTAAAACATTCACTAAATTACCTCTTCTGTGTGAACCTAATGTTTATCTAGATTAGTTCATCGGTGTCTCGCTTTTTCTAAACGTGGCCCGGGTCTTTCTCTCTAGTGTCATACGAGTCCCTTTATGTCATTCAACGGATCCGACCTGAGGATCCGACCTCATCCGTTTCATGGGATTTTAAACGGCTATAGCTACAGCCAAGAGTGCTGTTTATGCGGCAGATCCGTAAGTGATCGTCTGTAGATGTGACAGTATTCACTCAAAGCCCAGGAGGGGATAACAGAGATTATACTTAAGTTAAACATTATTTATCCACCAAAACTTGAACTTTAGATATGTTTCCAGCCCATCAACGAAACGAACGTTATTGTAAGCCAAATGAAACTGGGATCATGTTTCAAGCTTCACCTTCGACGGCAATGTTTGGACAACCTGATTAGTCCATGCCAGGAAGGAAGTACAGGAACAATTCTCGTCTTGTACAAACAAAGCTTTGTTTTGTTTCCACTTTTTGTCTAGTAAATGTACCAGAATTGGAAACACCAATTGCATGTCACAAAATTCGTTTAGTTTTTGTAAAGCTGCAGACCAGCTGTGCACATGGAATAACATCACCCTACTGTCTTTTTCTGACAGTTTCAAACCTTGCTATAGAAATAAAAATGGAGATTCACCCTGATGACACATTTTTAAAAACAGGCAAACTTTAAGCGGAGCAATTTTTGTATCTGACGTTAAGCCTTTTTTATTTTAGTAAAGCAAAGATAACCCTGACGGATGTCTCGATTTAAAATTAAACACTTTATTGGTAATATAAGGCATCGTGTATGTTTAGTTTTACATGCGTGTTTGTGTTTGCCCCATACATTAACATAACTGTCATTTCGAGAAGAACTACCCCGTCTTTCTCTACTCAGCTTTCGTGATCTTTTTCCTCAAAGCAAAGACTTGGTGGGAAAACCATTGTCTTTCTTGTGTTCTTTTAGGAAACAGTCATGACACATAAACGCAGCCTGTGTTCAGTTTCTCTTGGAGTGGAGGGTATGACCTGCGGCTCTTGTGTCCAGTCCATAGAGCAGCGCATTGGGTCTCTTCCTGGAGTGATGCATATAAAGGTAAACGTGGGCTCTTTAGAGCTGTTTGTGGTGGTTAGTGGGTTTGAATTTTGTTTTAATTAATTTTTAGTTTAAATGTCATGCAGCAGTCTTTGTTGAGGAACTGATAATAACATTTTGCTGACTCAATACTTCCCTCGTGATACTTACTGTTTAACTACAGGATCTGAAATAACTAGATGTTGTAACAGTGGTCAAGTATTTTAAAACCATGTATTAGATCTCATAAAGAAAAAAAGTATATTAACTAAAGGTTCCTTCCACCCGTATTAGGCCTGATTGATACCCTAATCTTACCCCCTCCGGACTCGCTCATCTGATTAAGAACCAAGTAGCATCAATGTAGCCATGAGAGAGGGTT